TGCTTAGTGTGCAAATCGGATATACAGTTACCTTTACAGTAATTGTTTTGCTTTCAGATTCAGTTTTTGTAGATGTAAGAAATGAGGACGTAACTTTTGCAGAGGGGAGAAGAGTCAGGTTTGGTATTATTCCTTTTTACTAGAGCACTTAGTTTCAACTATTTTTCTCCCTTTGGGAAGACAGAAAGTTACTCTCCTCATTTTTTTACTGTCCTGAGATGGAAGGGAGCACACAGAGATCTTGGCTGAGTTGAACAGTGTTTGTTCTGTAACCTCAGTGAGAGATAATAAGATATAGAAGGGTGCTCATTTCAAAGGGCACATACACCTGTCAATACAATATTAAATGCTTTTAAATACTGTACCTGTTTCCCCAAATTGGATTCAAAAGTTTTCCAAAACTCTGTATTCTTTAGGACAATTTTTAATGATTTATACCTGTAAACATGTGCTGCCATTCTGGATACGAAACACAAATGCGGGCCATAGCATAAAAGGCAATCCTGTTTGTCTGTGCTATGGTCAAGAAAACAGAAAAAGGAAGCACAACACTTTTTTACAGTCAGTACTCTGTTATTACTGTTTGTTTCTTTTGTTGAGCACAAACTGCACATTTTTCTAAATGACATTTTTTTGGTTGTGTCTGCACAAGAGGTCACAAGTATGTACATTCTTCTGCATGGTTTGGTCAGTTCACAAAGAGGACTTTAGCCTCTGAATTGGGAGGCAAATATTTTCATTTCAGAATGTAAAGTTTTTGAAAAGTATCAAATCCTATTCAGAACAATTGTGGCTCCTGGCAAGTAAGACAATGTACATAATTTTGCATTATGAGCCTTTTAGAGCATAACCATGTTTTCAAATGGGAGGAGGGAAAACTCATCTGGATTTTAGCAGTTAATTGATCTCAGGATCCCATCCAACCCATGAAAGGCCTATGAAAGGAGACAGGGTATAAGCTTCATCTAGAGGGCTGGGCAGTTTGTTCCACACTCCCCCATCCCTTTGTGTAAAGAAGCACAATCTATCCAGACTGCAGGATCGCATGCAGTGATGTCTTGAAAGAAGCCAGGGTATCGGCTTCAACAAGATGGCTGGGTAGCTGTTTCCTGTTTCCAATGAGCTTTTCAGTACAGGAGTGCCCGTTGTATTCAGTTTTATGCACTCTTCCCCTATAAATCCCCTTTAAATGCAACAAGAATCGCCAGTTTTAACTGGAAGGAAGTTTCAATTAAGTTGCATCGTATTGTTTTTCAGGGCTAATTGAGGAAGAAGGCAAAGACAGCAAAGGTTGCCCTCACATCACATCCAACAATGTGGCCTGCTCTCAGAACAATTCTTTTTTGAGAATCAGAGTGAGAGTGTTCTGAAGCTCCATCTTTGCCTCCTGCATACAATACTGAATCCTCTACTTTGTTTCCCAGTGCCGGTTATTTACATGTATGACCAAAGAACATAAGGAAGGTTACATGAGAGGAGGCCATTCAGTGCGTCAGGCAGTTTGTAGTTTATTGGCTGAAGCAGCAACTGACTACCTAACTAAATTACTATGCTTGAAGCCCATGCTCAATGAATGTTTTTAGTTTTGAGTAAAAGAAACCTGAATGAACAGGGAAGTAACGTATTTGCTTGCATTCTTTTTTTATTCTGTGTACGTTCCCCAAGGAAAGCCTCCCACAGTAAAAGAACAGTAAAAAGTTGAAAAGTACAATGTAATTGTGGTACAACATGAATCTGGTGCACCAGGCCTTAATGCCAATATTGGTAAATTGCAGTATTAGGAAGCTAAAAACAACAGATGAGCTTTTGTGGCCACCTGTCACAAAGGTTGGTGGCCAAGCCATTTTGCTGTAGTGCACATCTATTTAGATTTCCAAATGAGAGCTTAATTAAATTTCTCCAAAGTGTGAGCAACCGGGATCCTTTGGTTTGTGAGATGAGTCACTCAGCTCATCAGACCTGGATGCATATGACTGATCAAATCCCGACTCCAGCCACCCTCAGATCCATTTGTTTCAATGAGCAAAGTACCACCTGAATTTCATTGTCCCTGTTGTCACTTGCAAGATTATTGATTGTCTTTTCACTTTTTATGGTAACTTTTAGAAAGTCAACAGAACTGCCTTTTGCCCAACAACTTAGGTGCTAGCACACATACAGTCAGGAAGAATCACAGGAATTTAGCCATTCAAAAAAATAAATGGCTGTGATGGTTGGAGGAGTCAGCAGACCATGTCAGTTCTTCCCCATTCCTAACTAGTACTGTGCAAGGAGCTGGTACTGTCAGCCAGCGGGTCTAGAAACTCTTGGCAATTCAAAATCAGGTGGATATGTAAAAAAATAAATTATCTGTTGAGAGGAAACTGTAAAACACCCCGTTCCATTTTACAATTTGCTCATTAGACTACTCACTGAATTCCACAGCTTGGTATGATGATAAAATGGAGCCAGCGCTTCAGATACATACAGTAACTGACACTGGAGAGAAAAACAGGAAATTGAGATCCGCGGCAACAGGAAACACTGGTAGGATTAAGTACATACAGCAAAATAATGTCACCCTACTTTGAAAGAAAAGGAGAAAAAAAACTCAGAAGTGGTAGAGTTTTACTGTAGCGCACACGATACGTTTTCTCAGAACTGAAGCACATAAACACACGCCTCTCATGTTATGATCATAATTTCTCTGCCCTTCAAAAGCCTGAGAATTTTTCATGTGTCTTTTGATCTGCGTGACTTTGCCTGTTTCCTGGTAAAGTGTAAAAATGGAAGAAAACCAGCTTATGAGACATTGCTCCTTCTTATTCACAAGAAAACTGAAATCAAACACGTGACCTCTACTGATTGTTTGAAACCACACAAGGAAACACTTCTACTGTTCATACAGTGTAATATAAGGGAGTTTTGATGCTTCTCAATGTCTGTAAATTTGCTATACACAAAACCCTGTTATAAAACACCAGCCTTTTAATCTCAAGGGCCCCTTTCATTTTCTCAGTCCAAGTTGTTTCACTGTTTCTCAAACAAGTAAGCAAGTTGGAATATGCCCTTGTCTTTTTAAAACTGGTAACAACTAAGAAGTTAAATATTTTTTCAGAATATTCTGAACATGAACTTCGGATGACCTCCTCCCCCCTTTGTTAATTAACACATGCAGCTAATTAGTAGACAATATACCCCAATAAACTCCCCAGTGTCACGATCGTAAACCCCTCCTCTTAAGGACGCTCCAGCCCTTCCTTGTTTTATACTCATCTCCCGCACCTGCCTCCAGTTCCAGCCCCTCGTGCTATAAAAGCCAGACGTCCCTGCCAATCTGGGCTCATCTTTGGAAGATGGACGCTCGCCTACCCGTGAGTCCAGAAGCGACTCGACGGCACAGGCTTCATCATGATGTCCTGACCTTCTGAGTCCGGGATTAGGGAGTGTCTGGTCCCGCACCCCTCTTTTTTTCCCTGACCCTCCGCCGGATCCCGCTCCGGCTTTTAACTCAGTTTGTCTATCAGGATGGATTACCCGGTCTTGGACATTTGCTACACTCATGGATTTGCCTCAGACTCCCTCGGACTGTTTGCCTCGGCCACACCTCCCCCGGACACCAGCGCACCGTGGACACCCCCCCTTTCCTTCCAGCCCCTTTCCATGCCTTTCCCCCCGTGTTTTCCTCACTCTTCCCCGGATTGTGTTGTCTGCATAGGGTCCCCTGAAAGAACTCTTCGTGACGCCCAGCCTCTGTTCAGACAGGGAAAGCAACTACCAGATGTTAAAGTCAGCTGACATCTTTAAAAACCATATGCAAGTTACGAGACCTATTCTAGTTAAGTTGTCTATAATTGTTGTTATGCTATTTTGTGAGTAACAGCAAATATTAGTTCTGAAAAGTGCTGTACTGAATCGAGGTATAGGCCAGTAATTGTTGGGAACTGAAAAGCAAGAACGCAAATCCTGAGGCTTTGGCTGGGGTTGGCTGCCAGAGGATGGCAAAATGATACAGTGGCTATCATTGCCGTCTTGCAGCCCTGGAGACCTGGGTTCAGCTCTGGACTTGGGGTGATATCTGCATGGTGTTCGTATGTTCTCCCTCTGCTTGTGTGGATTTTCTCCCACAGTCCAAACACATACTGGTAGGTTAATTGGCTTCTGGGACAAAGGGACCCTAGTGTGAGTGAGTGTGTCTGTGTCTGCCCTGTGATGGACAGCTGTCCTGAACATGGCGTACCCTGCCTTGCAGCTGTTGCTTGCTGGGATAGGCTCCAGCTCCAGCTTCAACTGGACATTCAACTGGATAAAGCAGTAAAAAAATGAATGCATGCATGAGATGCAGATAAAATTTTCTAACATTCCACTTCCGGAGTTACAATTCATAAAAGCATCAAGGTAGGCTGTAAAAGCATCAAGGCCGTAGATGTTCTGACCCATCATCCAACAGTGCAAGGACATGAGGCACTACAATTTACTGTCCCAAAGAATTCACAGCTTTGTCTTTTGAAAACATCTTTGAAAAAAAAACTGTGAGGACTACTTTCAAACACATTTTGACTTTTGTCTCATAAAAGTTAGCCCATCGCCATAATCTAAATCATTTATAAAAACCTGTAGAATGCTAAAGTTTTTTTTATTTTATTTTTTTTACCTTTCTATAAGTTAAGCACAGCAAAACGTCACATTTTCAATCCTTATGTCTATCCTTATGTATCCTTATATAGCAACCAATTTTCCGCATTATGAATCCCTAGTTGTTCAGAAGATGCAGGGAATTCTTAAATGGTTCATTCTTCATTTAACTTTATAGAAATAGAAAAAAAAGCCTTTGTTTTCAACAACCCGTGATCCAGGTGTAACCCAAAATGTGGCAAACAGGATTTAATGTATTTAGAGCTGCATTTTTTCTTAAAGAATCTGCACAAACCTGTCCATGCTCACGTCATTTCCCCGTGAGTTTTTTTTTTTGTGGGTCATAAGCTGAGTTTGTTATTCTATTATTTTTCATGACAAGCAGCTGACTAAGTGGAACGCGCTATAAATGCCCCCGCTCTAACAGCTTCCTTACTCCACTGAAAGAGGCGGTGAAGGTTTCTTAGCTGTGCGAGAGTCACGCCAGAGCTCAGGCAGGTAAGGCGCAGCAGATTACATTACTTTCCGTGTCAGTCGAGCGCTGCTTTCTGTGTCACTTTGGCAAGAGACAGAATCCAGTCAGATCTTTTCTTCAGTTTTTCCTTCTGTATCATTCCATTAGGATGAAACTCTTCATTGTAGCCGCTGCTGTGGTGACCGTGGTCTACTCGGCCAGCCTGACCCTAGAAGATCTCGAGTTTCACGCGTGGAAACTTAAGTACGGTAAGAAGCCACATTCCGCTGTACTACATGTGTATGTGTACAGTGTAGGAGTACAAAAGGTCATTTCTATCACTCTCAGCAAGGCCTGCGATGCAAAGGTTTCAAACTTATTTTTTTCTATCACTCAGCGAAGACTAGTATCTTTAAATACATTTGTAATGTTACAGGGAAAACCTAAAGGGGCTCTTTTTACAGTGTAACTGCACCAAACTGCATTTGAGAGACCAGTGCTTCAGTTTTTGTCATTTTATTGTCATTGGTTTTATTGTAATTGTTTTTGCTTTTAAACGAATATTTTGGAGAAAACTTGCATTCCGTAGCCCAAATGTTTTGAAAGAAACCAAAAGCAACCAAAGAACGAAATGTCAGAAACATGTTTCATTCATTTTTTTAAAGGTATTTTTAAATGTTATCTTACGGATGGTAGTGTTTTTCTTCTGTTTAGACGCTTACTGCATGTAAAGGAGGCCATTAAGAACAAAATATATCTAATTCCTCAGAAATGCACGAATGTCGAATTTCATTTTTTATTATTATAATTTGACGTGAACGTACAGAATCCTGCAATTTGTTAAAAGAAACTTAAGTCTGTTTTTGCTGATTTTAACAATCTGAGGAAGTTCAAAGTAACGAGCTGTTTCTGTTTTGCGCGTTTTGTCATTCCTCTACTAAAAAACAAACTTGTAATTCAGCTTTCTTTTACTTGTTTCAGTAGTTGTGAGTTTGTACAGAAATTATATACAAAAATATATTTTATGTATGCAGCCTGAAAGCAACGAATATTAGTGGATATTCCAGGAACATTTTCACCACACATGCCGTTTGTTTGCTTTCTTAGCATCTGTTCTGAGTGAACAAGTGCAGTGAAGAAAGACACACAATTCCGCTTTCAGTTTCTTCCTAATCAGAAACGGGAATTAACAGGGCTTCTCTTTGCTGAGTTCTGGTAACAGCTCCTTTGCATGTCTCAAAGCCTGGGCTTGATGTCAGGAAGTCAGTTGCATGGTTTATTATTTCTGTACAAAGTCCTTGAATATGTTTTTCTTTGAACAGACTCACTGTCACATTTGCAGTTATTGTCCCTCTCATGTTTTTTTTTAGTTTTAGACTTTTTTTCACCCTCCGTATAGGAAAATTTCTAAACATGTCAAATATTGGAACCAGCTAAAACAGGGGTCCCCAGTTCTTATCTTGAAGGGCTGCCATGTCTGAAGCTTTTCTGTTTTTTTTTAAGGTAATGTACCTGAAGTCATAGGAGAAGATGTTAAATTGGGCTTACTAAGCCAAAAAGGAGATGATTGATGTTAAGAGCCCAGCTGGACTGTAAACATCATTCAAGGCCAGTCCTCGCACAAACTGCTTAGATCATTGACTCCAGTCCCATGCAGTCTTCCTGCTCCAGGAAATTAAAGAAGGGAGATGGAGGGGTTGTATTGGATGTGTTAATTGCCTGCAGGATTCAGAAGTCCGCAAACAGGCTTTTGGCACAAACCTTATTTCCCCTAGCATTCCCATAGATAGATACATTTTTTAGAGTATGTTTATAAATACTGTACATAAGCTTTGCGTCAGAATTAGAAAATTCATGCAAGACTGCATAATTAGGTTAGTAAAAAAGTCTGAAGTATTTTGGAAACTGTGTCAACAACAGATAGTAACAGATTGAGTAAACAGAACACCAGGCTCAGCAATACAGGAAACCACCTAAAAAAATGGAACTTTAATGCAAAGTTCACTTGACATCAGTGTTACTTGTTTGATCTGTGACACAGGCTAAGGTAGCTGACAGAGATGTGAGATAAAGTCATCCTCGCCTGTCTATTATTCTAATCAAGTGAGAATCTGGAATGCCCAGCTAACTATTCATGCTGGTGAACAGTGTTGCTTATCAGGTGTTCTGATAAATCAAAACCGTTAAGCGTGAGGGCAAGTACATACTTCAGAACCGTCTCTTACTGACAAGCATGCGTAATAAAACAGGGTTTTAAAAATGAATTTGAAAACAGGATCCATAGACAAAAATCGCAAAAAAATGTATTAACGTTTGGCAATTAGGAAGAACTATTAGTTGGTATACAAAAACACTGTAACGCTCTCATTATCCATTGACCTGTGTGTGAGTGTCTTGATGGGACAATAAATAATCAGATGAATGTGATTCTTTACAAAGCCTCTGTGTCTGAGACTGTAGGTCAGAATGTGTTTTTGACTGGGAAGTCGGTGCAGATGCAACACGAATGTCACTGCTAGCTAGGAGAAGGCAGTGTGGCGTGTTTCTGGGCTCTGAGATACTGAGAAGCTTCTTGATTTTGCTTCAGCAAAAGAGGTTTGATTGTCTTGCTTTCTGCAGGAGTTGCAGTAATGTCTTTCCTCGGCCTGTGATGCACCCATTTCCGTTTTCAGGGAAGTCCTACAGCTCCCATGCGGAGGAGGCCCGGCGTAAAGGGACCTGGCTGTCCAACCGCAAGCAGGCTATCGTGCACAACATGCTGGCAGACCAGGGCATCAAGTCCTACAGGCTGGGGATGACCTTCTTTGCAGATATGGTAAGACTCCCTTTTAAAACATCCACAGTTAGTTACCAGGCCTCATGGCACTGCAGCGGAGAGGGAGCAAGACTGCAGATCTTACTACCTCCTCCAGACACCCATGGGCATGATCTTTGCCCGGCCAATTTCCTGACAGCGCACATCATGGAATGTGCCTTTCTGTTACGACGGTGTTACAAAAACAAGTCATATACTTATATACACTGCCACATCCATAAGGATGGAGATGGTGGGAAATAATGCAGAGAATCTCAAGCAGTCAGCCCACAGTGCTTTTTAAAGTGCATTACAACTCCGTGGCACCTCCTGCAGTGCTGTCTCGGAAAAGATTAGACTGCCACAAATGGGGTCAGAAAAGGCAATTGTCATGTTTTTCTTACATTACTGGAGATTTACAATATAAAGATTTGTTTTACATGTATAGAATGGTGCAACTTCCATCCATCTATTGTCACAAAAAAGCCACTTCCTGGTTAGAGTCATGACAGCCCGCAGCCTGTTCGAGGAGAAAGCAGTCCCTCTCAAAGCACACACACAGGGACAAGGAACCTATTAACTTGCCAGTGTCTGTATAAAATGGGAGAAAACTGGAGCACATGTGATCACAGTGCAATGAAATGTGACATCGACGCAATGCTCAGACCTAAGGGGTCTCTCTCTGTCGCCCCCCGCAGGACAACGAGGAGTACAGGCGCGTGGCGTTCCGGGGCTGCCTGGGCCGCTTCAACACCACCAAGGCCAGGCACGGCTCCACCTACCTGCGGCAGGCAGGGGGCGCCAATCTGCCCGACAGCGTTGACTGGACAGCAAAGGGATACGTCACAGAGGTCAAGGACCAGAAGGACTGTGGCTCATGCTGGGCCTTCAGCACGGTAAGAAGATAAGAGCTTGAGGAACATTAATAGCCTCAGGTGCCTTCCAAGCACATCAAGGACTTCAGGCCTCCTAACGGAGAGCAGGCTGGGCAGTATAATTGTAGATGTCGCTGTTTTCAGTAAGTAGGGGGTGATTAGGGTTGTCCAGGTGCTCCAGCTCCAGGATTAGGTGCAATAGAGCAGATCAGGTTATCCCTGCCATGCTCTATAACTGCATCTCCTAAACCTGCAGTTTTACTGGTGAGAGCTGCACCTGTCTCATTCACTGAAGAAGAGGTGGATAGCCTGGCAGTGTCTTCCTCCCTCTGGTGCTCACGCGAGGCTTAAAGCCGGGAGATGACGCAATGGCACTTTGAGACACAGAAGTGGGGAAATTGTAAAAAAATATAGCGGTGAAGAAAAAGTGAAAACGTCCATCAAATGTTACTTTGCTCAGCCAAGAACCTCTTTAACCCAGCTCTTGAGTGGTCTTTGAAAACACACAGACGATTACATTGGTGAGAAGTTTACTTCTGAACTGTCTCTTCTGTAAAGATGTTTCAACTTTCTAGCTTCCCTAGTCTTAATTTCCTAGGTACGTGAAAGAGCGGCCCTCTACAGCCCCACAGTACTGCCCAACACTACTCATCCAGAGAGACGTTAACCACAAAAGAGACAAAGAGATGTTAACCACAGTGATAAAGGAAATAATGTGAAAACGTATTGTGGTAAAATTCTAAAGGAGAATGCCTCTTTAATTCAGTACATAATTCTATAGTGCAGATCATTGTGATTTTATCAGCAGGAACGTGTTTACCCAAAGGGTTGTGGGAGTGTGGAACAAGCTGCCCAGCCATGAGCTTAAAGTCGATACCCTGTCTTTTAAAAAAAAAAACTCCTTGTATCAATCAGCTACTAATTACCAAACAGGCTATAAGAGCTGAATGGCCTCTTCCTGTTTGTAGCCTTTCATATGTTCTTAATCCCTCCTTAGCTCCATCCACTTTTAAACCTATGTGTGTGTGTGTTGTCCACAGACAGGGTCTCTGGAAGGGCAGAACTTCAGAAAGACTGGGAAGCTGGTGTCTCTGAGCGAGCAACAGCTGGTCGACTGCTCTACGGACTATGGGAACTACGGCTGTGGAGGAGGCCTGATGGACCAGGCCTTCCAGTACGTCATTGATAACGGAGGCATCGACACTGAGGAATCCTACCCCTACGAGGCCGTGGTGAGCCCCTGAGCTCTTGAGTGCCGATGACAAGGTGTCTTTTTTAAAAACAAAAATACCTCGACGCATCCTGCACAGCGCTGCTCTTCACAAGATTCCTTTCGCTCTCGCTGCGCTCAGAGCTGGCTTTTGCCGATCTTGTGATTTCCATTTTTGCCCCAGGAATAAGAAACAGAAGGAAAATAAAGCCAAATAGCCTTTGTGTTACTTTCGTTAGCTATTGTGCTCATTTGCTTCCTTCTTAAGCTTCTATTTGACTTCATTCGGACTGTTTTTCCACTTCAGGGGAACTACTAAGACTCAGGGTCAATGTGAGAGAGTCCTGAGATGCTGGCCACCATTTAAAACGTCTCTGAGTGTGAATTTGACGATCTGGGGACCTCTTGCTCAGTCCCCCATGGAACTGAACTTCCCAATGTCTCTTTATAGGATGGACTATGCCGATACAAGCCGAGCAGCGTGGGAGCCACCTGCTCTGGGTATTCTGACATTACCAGCGCAGACGAGAGCGCCCTGCAGGAGGCTGTGGCCACTGTGGGGCCCGTGTCTGTGGCCATTGATGCAGGACATGTTTCCTTCCAGCTCTACGAGTCAGGTGTTGTATCCGTAATGAATTACTGATTCTTTAATCATTAGTAGCTCATCCTCGCCATCACTGCAGCCTGACCTGTCCTGAGCCCTCAGCACAAACACAACTCCAGCGCTCATGTGGAAAACACAGTTCGTAACTTTAAGGGGTTCTGCGAGCTTAGCTTGCTAAAACATAATGTATCATGCAAGTCAAACGTGCTACAATCTGGAGCTCAGAGTCCCAAGTTGTGTTACTGATTTTATTCTTAATGCCCAGTAAGGTAGCCTATGCGTTCAGTTTATTATTTTCAATAAATGAGAGGATCACTTTCCCAGACACCATTCTTAACAAGGACTATCTATTTAAATAGGAAGGTAGATTGAAATAAAAAATACTTCAAAGGAACAAGTAAAGGTTTATTCCATGTTGAAAAGAGACACCCGAAAAGGCTCCACAGCCGAAATGTTGTTTCCTTTCTTCCTTTTCCAGCATGGCATGACGCAGCTACCTACATGAACTAAATAATACTTCTATTCGTTCCGAACTCAGGTTAACTCTGTAAGATTTAATTAAACAGTACATAATGCTTCAATTGGGATAAAAATCTTCCTTGTCTCTAGGGATCCCCAGGGGCTTTGACAAGAGGGAGAAGATGTTGTTAGAGGTTACTCTGACTCTTCCTCCCACTGCATATAAATCTTAACAGAGGGTTACCGCCCTGGCTGAGCTCTGTCAGACATGTAGGGAAACATGTATAGATCGTGTATACTGTCTCCACTGCAGGTATCTACAATGAGCCAGAGTGCAGCAGCTCTGACCTGGACCACGGTGTCCTGGCTGTGGGGTATGGCTCTTCTAATGGTATGGACTACTGGCTGGTAAAGAACAGGTGAGTCTGAACGCATCTGGTCTTTCTGGAAAGCCAGCTGGTGCTTTAGAATACATCACATGTTACATTTTCTCTTAAATAAAACTTTTTCCTGTGGCGGGACCTTTGTGAGATCATTTATTTCTTCCTTTCTGCTCATTTTAAGCTATTAAAAGAGTTTTAAAGACGTACTTCACAATCATGTTTTTAGATTAAGATAAACTGCCACCTGCCTTTGACATCTAAGCATGCCAAAACAATGCAATCTGAAGTTGGATTTGATTAATTTAATCATTTACTTTACATAATTTGTGGATAATGCATAGGCAGTTTCACGAGTCTCAATTTAGAATAATTTCATCAAACAGAGGGCACACTGCAACACTGCAAGTTGGTAGAAAACTGCAGTATCACAATTATGATGACTGCATGCATGAGATGTTGTTGAGCCTGCTAAAGAACTACTGTTTCTACTGTGTGCACCTGTATACCATGCTTGGGTTTAGACCAGAGATCCCCAGTCATCAGATTGGTACAGTATATCTAAATGTTTTCAGACCAGCTGGGCTCATAACGACCGTAATCATCTCATTATGGGCTTAAAGGGACCAGCTTTACAGCTTGTGCCAGCTCTTCCAAGAGACCTAAAAAAACCCAGCAGACACTGGCTCTACAGGACCAGGACTCTGCAGGATTGGTGAGTATAGACCTGTTGAGGAAAGCAGGAAGAGTCTGACCAATGGGCCAATGGGTTTGTGTTTCCAGCTGGGGTCTCTCTTGGGGAGATGGCGGCTACATCAGGATGAGCAGAAACAAGAACAACCAGTGTGGGATTGCTACAGCAGCCAGCTATCCTCTAGTCTAGAAGGTCAGTGTCACTCTCTGAGTTTCTCTGATGGCTATCACACTACTTATCATTCCCATTATATAGCCACAACCCATCAGGGCGTAGGGGAGGCTAATGCAAGCTACTAACTATTGCAATATTAATCATCAGAAGTGCAGTTACAAGTGCAGAATAGTGCAGCTGTTCTGGGGTCTGAATCTGGGCTTTAGTTTTAATTATGATTCAGTGTGCTACTAAATATAGACATATGCCAGGTAACTGAAAGCAGTCATCTTATTCATTTGGGTCCTATCCCTCCATTTTTGGAGAATCCCAGGAAGTCCCCTTCAACAGCATAGCAGGGCAGTTTGTTCCAGCCTTCCACAACTCTTTGTGTAAGGAAATGCTGCCTAATTTTGTGGTCTTAAATGCATTCACTCTTAGTTTCCTCTGTATCCTTTGGTCACAGTTTTACTGCTGGTCCTGACATAGTTCTTGGAGTTGACTCCGCCAATAACATTTATGATTTTAACATGCCTATTACATTTCTTCATTCTGTTAATCCTCCTGCTGTATAATGTACATCACATATTGGATAGGCATTTAAAGCAAGGATGGTGTATTTTACAAAGTAACAATTCTACATCTTTGCCAAACTATTCTGAGAGATGGTATTGTATAAAGGTGGAGTTATGAAGGGTGACAGCATTAAGGTCAAATGTACATTCCTGCATACACCTGCCTTAATTAACTTAGAATTTCGATCTAACAAGGTATCAGCCATGCAGAGTGTTTCTGATTTAAGTGCTCGGGGCATGTGCCTTTATGCGAGTTGCCATTTTATTGTGCAACAATGGAGATATGTTGTGCACTAGAACAACTCTGCATTTGCTAAACGTGTTAAGAAAAGTGCTGAGAAATGGAGTTCAGTGGTGGAATTGTGCTATTGGTTGCTGTCAAATCCATTTTTTCAAAATGCCGTTGTCTACCACGCTACATTGAAAGAAGCTTGCGCGACAGTTTCACATTTCTGGGAGACTTGTTCCACAAGCAAAAAAAGCAGTGATATTAAGACCGAAAGTAAAGTGTAATACAAGCATGGAAACCTTCAGCAAAGCATAAAGGTGACGCATAAAGAAGATTATTTGAGGGTAAAAGGCTTTTTTGTTTTGTTTTTTATCTAATTAAACTCATCTCTGTAAAAAAACAATCTAAATCTAATCCGTATTTGTGAAAACAGTCACAGTAAGTGTTTTTTCACCCTATAATTGAACTGCTGGACATTGACAGGGCGTTTTAACCCCATGTTAAAGAATTAAAAATTAACAGTAAAAATCCTTTCTGTTTTTCAGGTCCAGAGCAACAGTTTTTCCACAGGAACAAAGGGAAAAGTAAATCACAGAATGAATGTGCAATAATACCTCACTGTGTTTATTAAATGTAGCTTGTATTTTCAAAACTTTTAAAATTGGTTGAACATCTTCTCAACATCTGTGCTTTCTGAAAGTCATTTGTGAAACCTACATGAGAAAACTCCTTTTGATCTGAGATTTACATATTTCACAAGGTATCAAAACCAGCCTGCTGTTTTGCTTGTTTCTGTATTTGGATATAATTGCTAACAAAAAGACATTTTTATAGTACATGTTGACTCTTGAGTTCAATTCTAAATGGTAGAGGCCCAGGTTAACTCTAACATTGAAATGATGCACTATTTTTAACAGCGGCACATTGTAATGTTAACAACAAAACACCTTTTAACAGCTGTGTCTGAGCACAGGCAACAATTTTAAAAAGGAGTAAAGTAAAAAAGCGACAGGTAAATAGAATGAAAGAAACACTTAAAAAGAAACACTTTAATGTTTTAATAGGTAGAAATGGCATTGTGATTATTCTAACTTTATGTGCCCAGAACTTCCATTAATGTAGGTGACATGCTGGTCTCTGATTAATTTAATTTAACCTTTTTTTAGCAAGGTAAGTTGTTTGAGAACAAATTCTTATTTTCAATGACAAGCTGGTCGTGAGACTTGGTTCTTGATAATAGTGGCCAAGCGCTGCACTTTAAATAGTCAAAACAGATTTAAGCATGAGAACAGACACATTCAAAATGTGAAAATAATAGCAAAACAAGAGCAACTTCACTTATAGAACAGCTGAGGAGATTTACAGTGCAATGACGAATCAAACTTGTTAAAACAAGGATTGATTACTTTAAAAAAATTATATATCATTTTATATTATACAGTATATAAAAAATAAAATAGAATTAAGGACACAGTTAATGGCTTTCAGAAGTGTGCTGTAAGTTGAATGGTGCCAAGACTATGAGAGTTCAAATGAATGATTTATAACTTCTATTATTTTATATTTCCTTATAGAGAACCAAGTACTGGTGCAGAATCAAAATGTCTTTATTCCTCAGGGGACACTACTAGCACTAAAGTTGTAAACAAGTTGTAATAGTCTTAAGACGTTAAAAGCAAGCAAGGGTGTTTTTTGATTTTTCTTACAGATTTCGAAGTACTGTCAGAGGATGAATACCTCTGTACTGTTGGGTTTCTTTTTTGTCACTTAGTTTTTAATGTGTGCCATCATGCCAAATCTTGATTAAGAACAGCTACAATGAATGTTAAATATTTTTCTATCATATGATTGTAATTCTGGGTAAAAATAACTGTATATTACAATTAAATGTGCATTTCTGAGCTTTGTTGTGTGAGTGCTGCCTATATCGAGTTCTGTTAATTCAGAGATTCTTCTGAGAGATCGGGAGCCACGTGTCCAGCCACCCCAGGTGTGACTTCAACCCATCATTAAGCACTGTTCTTTCAATATAGTTCAATGGATATTTTGTTTCAGCATTTCTGTCCCACCTTACATCTTATGGCTACAGAAAGTGCTAAATAAACACTGCTTCTTCACAAGAAGAGCTCTTACAAAACAGGAACAAATGACCTAGAGCCAATTCCCCCTATCTCAAGTTCAACTATAAGTATAAAGCAGTAAATATCGCGAATGTTAATGTTTCAGTTGCTGATAGCTATACTTTTAAGGAGAGGAGGAATAGTGCCATTGCTTACATCTTTCTCAGTTTTGGGGGGAGCTGAAGCCTTATCTAGCAAGCAACAGGTGCAAGGTGGAATAAACCCTGGCTACGACACCAGTTCATCGCAGGGCACACACAGACATGTAAACACTCACAACAGGGCCAGTTTTCCCAGAAACAGATTCACCTACCAGTATATCTTTGTGGAATGGGGAGGAAACTGGAGAAACTGGAGGAAACTCATGTGAACACACAGAAAAATACTAAAACTGTGCAGATCGTACCTCATGAATTGAACCTAGGGCCCCAGTGCTGCGAAGAAGCAATGCTAACCACTGCGCCACAGTGCTGATCTGTTACCTACATTACGATGTGTAATGTTGCACTACTGAGGTGGGACTTGGAGCACGGTCCAGGAGTGTTTAAAACCTACGTGCTGGAGGAAAAGCTGGCTGAGTTGGGGAATCTGCAAACTGCACACAGGGACTGCTCAGAGCTGTGCTTTCTTGAGACCAGAGGACGTGCACACCAGGATCAAGGAACTGGGTGCTTGCTCACTTGTGAGCCAGTAGCCACACACACCGGTGCAGTGGTGCTGTGGCTGGCTAGGGAACCAGCGGGTAGTGCAGGCAAACACAGTCCAGGGTCTAAATATCCACCACAGGCAAGGAACATAGCATGGGAGACACTGTAGCTGGGCACAAGTCCAGTCCAAGTTCAAAACCAGGATCGAAGCCGAGAGACACACAGTTAACAAAGACAGGAACAGGCAGAGCACAAGCTAAACACAGGAACAAATACAGAGATGCCAGCATGACATGATGTAAAGTGATCAAAGAAACCCTGAACTCCTGTGTTAGCCTAAATATCACCTTAATACTGGTGTATCTTTACCATATCCTGTCTTTCCAGATATTTTCCGCCTCTGTTGTCTTAAGCAGCCTTGTTTTCTCACCCCTGTGACTGTGCAGGGTTGCCCATGCTATTGCTTATGAAACCAGTGAGATGGGGTTTTGTTTTCCTCTCTGTCCCATGTATGATATGACTCTGGGATGTGCTGGGTTGTGGATAATCCTGCGGAAACTTACCCTGCTCTTTGGGAATAAATGAAATCCACTTAATGACATACAGTTAGATGAAGCAGAAAGAAAAAAGAAGGAAAGAGGAAGGCAAATAGAGTGTATAAGGCTGAGAATTAATTTTTTAACACAATAAAATGAAGTGGGAAAGCCGTAATGCTTGTTTGACCATGGTTGACAAAAAACATGTTCTGTGTTCTCTGAAGTATGTTGTACAGATTTGTGAAGCATGCATGTGGCATGACTTATAGCTTACTGAAGCTCACCTGCTGTGCAGGCTGAGCAGGAGAAGGTTTTTCACATTTGCTTTTGTTAGATCAAATCATATACAGCAGTCATGACAGTCTTCACAGATGCAATGCTTTTTAAAAAGGATGCAGGTCAAAAAATGAAGGAAGGAAATGGAGTAAATTTCCCTGCAGTATATTATAAAATAATATCAGGAAAAACAGACTTTCTCCAACATTAAACCACGTTTGAGTTACTGACATGATGAGTAAGACCGTGTCTGTCTTCAACCCTTTAAGCTTGATGGTCTTCAGCCTCTCCAAAGGTTTGAGGTATTATAGTCAGAACCTCATAAATAAGTGAACTGAGTGCAGACTGCATTGACAATTGGTTTGGTTGAGGTGTGCTCAAGAAGAGGATACTGGAAAGATACTGTATGCATAAATGTATACTGTGGTGGACAAAGATGACACAACTGTGTTTGAGATCATTGCTCTTGTCTAGTACAGCACACCTTGGGACATAATAATGACCTTTACACCCTGTATGCTCCTTTTCACTTTCTTCCCCTCCTAACCTATAGAAGACAGATGTGCAGTTTGACATATGTCAGCAGTTCATCACCCTTCGCTGTCATTAACCCAAAGTAGTGGAACAGGAATCAAGGAAGTGATCAAGCAAAACTTGCAGAAGATTCTCCAGTTCATGTGACCTGTAAGGATAGCAACACCTGCAGACATAATTTATCTCTGTGCAAAAGTAAAATAATGATAAAGCCTACCTTTTATTTTACAGATAATGTCAGCAGGGTGGAAAACAAAGAGCCAAACCCAGGTTAAATGATTACAAAGACTTATGACCTTTAATTGTTAACAGGGGTGTTGTAGAACATAGTATTGACTTGCAATGCAGGAGGTAGAATTACTGAATGGATATCCGTGCTTCTTTTTCTAGGAGAAGGGAGGACAAAAGGATGGTTCTGGGTTGTCATACTGGTGGTTTAGAACACTACAATACTGAACTGGGAAGTAGAAGTAAATTCTGATTATTAGAATTTGGATTAATTCAACCAGGATAGCAATGATCCATTGGTGAGACATCCTCATCACAGCCAGGGAGATCATACTGTAGGTAACATTTATTGGGTTTTCCTGACTCTTAACCTATTTTACACTGATACCATGCTCAAGAAGAACATGATTCAACACAAATTTTCCAATACCAGAAATCTTGTCAAAAAATGAAATTGTACCACAGTTGATGCATTTTGCTTGGTGTGGCAAGGCTGCAAAGTCTTTTCAGACTAATATTTTGATGCCCTGAGTTATATTTTCTGCTTAAATGAGTGTTAGGTTGCATTGAAGAAAATCTGAACCCTAACCCTAACTACCCAAACCCTGAGCTAGGGTTAGGGTTAGTGTTATTAGAAAACATAGAAGATGTTTGATGGCATGGCTGTGTTCTAGGACAGAAGTGAAATTTAGGAAACGTGTTATTTTAATGTTCTCTGCACTTTTTTTTTCTTGCCTACAGTATATGTGTATATGTACTTGTAACGCTGCTCTGTAGAGGTGAAAAGGATCCGATGCAGATGCAGGAGTCGCAGGGAGGTAAGTAAACGTACCGAGCAAATCCAGGAGCTAAGTCGTAGTCCGAAGGCGAAGGTAGGTCGAGATCTGGTAAAGGCACTGGTGCCGAACAATCCAAAACGTGAGACAGAATCGGGGTCGAAAAGAGAGCTACAGGGTCAAATCCAAAACAGGCAATGATAGCAAACAATCCAAGGGGCGAGACGAGATCCGAAGTCCGAAGGCAAAAGGTGCAGGCAGAATTCCAGGAAGGCAAAAGAGGGGTAAGAACGCTAGGCTGAGCAACAAGTAGAGAACTCAATACCGAGCAACGGGAATCAGGTAAGAATGGTATAAATAACCCGGCGTGCCGCACGGTAGAGCAATGAAATGAGGGGTGGATTCTGAGGGTAGGGGGGAGAGCAAGGCGGAAGGTAACCGGGGTGATCCGGGAAAGAATCCGGAAGGGACCGATATATCTAGGCCCAAGCTTTTTGGAAGACTGATGTAGAGGTAGGTTCCATGTAGATAACCAAACAAACTGTCCTTTCCGAAAACGAGGGGCTGGTCTGCGGTGTCGGTTGGCGAATTTGGCGTGGTGCTGGGTTGACTTAATAAGAGCTGTCCTCGCCATTTTCCAGGTCCTTCTCAGTTTGGCAATATATTGTTGCACGGACGGCACTTCCGTGAGTGGAGGTGTGACAGGGATGAGAGTGGGCTGATAAAAGAACAAAGGAAGGGAGAGGGACCTGTGGAGGAGGAGGTAAGAGAATTGTGGGCATATTCTGCCCAGGGAAGTAATAATGACCAATCATCCTGTGAGCTGGAGGTGAAGGCTCTCAAAAAGGTCAGGAGGGTTTGATTGGTCCTTTCCACCTGGTTATCATCCTGAGGCCAATGGTCAGAAGTCAAAGATACATGAGTCCCTAGAGTTTGACAGAAAGCCTTCCAAAAGGCTGAGATAAATTGAGGTCCCCTGTCCAAGACAACGTCATCAGGCAAACCATGTATCCTAAAGACCTGTTGTACAAACAAAGATGCCATTTCCTATGCTGTGGGCAATGCTGGGAGGGGGACAAAATGGGCTGCTTTGGAAAAACGATCGGAGACCACCATGATTACCGTATAACCCTGACTGTTAGGAAGGTCCGTAATGAAGTCAACAGCTATGTAGGACCAAGGGCGGTGTGGGATTGGAAGGGGGTGAAGGAGGCCAGCCTTCCTAGAGCGCGGAGTCTTGCTCCTGGCACAGTCATAAGTGAGGGGGGAGCGACAGAGCTTTCGGTTTGTCAAAGGCTTGCTTCAAATGTGCATATTGGGGGGGAATAATAGAGAGTTCTTCCAAGAGGTTTACTGCCGCAGCAACCTTGAGTGGAGGACAACAACAACAGTTGTCACGACAGGCATGGCTCCAGGCAATGATCTCATTCTTGGCCCAGGAGATGTGGGGATCATGCTTTTTGAGCCAGGGAAGGCCCAGGATCACAGGGTAAGCAGGGGAGTCCAGGAGAAGGAGTGAAATGTCCTCCAC